CTTTCGCTGCTACCGAACCCCCCCACCCTTTGACCGCCCCTTGCTGCGCCATGTCGAACCTAGAGTTTGGCATGGATTCCCTCGACTCAGTCCTCAAACTGATGACAGGAAGAGTATATATCTCACATCGATGAGATATATAACTGTTTTTGGTTCTTGTTTCCTCTGAGAAACGAGAATTTGTTTGCGATCCTACTCTTGTTGTGTAGCAGAGGTGCTGCCGAAATTTTCACTGCACACAAGGGTCGGAAGAGTAGGTGACCAGGTGTTGGTTCTGAAGCCTGTTCGATGAAGGAGATCATCAAGAAGTTGAACCCTGCAGAGGTGTCAACTTTGATGAAGCTGATGAAGTTGTCAGCTGGTGAGAGCACGACAAAGCCATCGAAGAAGTTGGAGCTTCCGACCATCGATCTGAAGCTTGATGGACTGAGTACGTACCTGAGCTAGTCGCGACGGGTGAGATACACCCTTGCAGGGAGAAACCTGGAGGGTTACTTGACAGGAGAGGTGACAGAGCCGGATGAGGACTCGGAGGGAAGAGATGGGTGGAAGTCCACTCATATGTTGGTGTACGACTGGCTCCTCAACTCGTTGGTCCAGTCAATCGCTGCCACAGTGGATGACATTGAGAAGGTGAAGGACGTCTGGGAAAAATTGAGGAGGACCTATGATGGAGTGGGGAATAACCTGAGGGTGTTCCAGATTAAGGGAGAGATCGACGTCACAGTACAAGGAGAGAGGACTATACAGGAGTATGCCACAGAGCTGGAGCGTCTGTGGCTAGATTATGACCACTTCTCACCTCGGGCGAGCTGCAAGGACCCGGGATGTAAAGAGCGGGAGGCCTTTCTACAGGAGAGGACTATGGTGTTTCTCAAGGGATTGACATCAGAGTTCGCTCAACGAATTGTATTGTTGCTAGCTCATCCGAAGATTCCCACGCTTGAGGAGGCTGTCTCTGCTATAATCCAGGAAAAGACTCGCATTAGGCTGCAGGCGGGGACAAGTGGACTTCCTGTGGTCAAGTCAGCACTGGCAGCCTCTAGCAACACTGGATCCAGGGGAGAGACTCGGCAGGGCTACAACTACGGTGCGGTGGGTCATCTAAGACATGCTTGCACCAAGCCACCCAAGGAAGAAGATTCGGGTGAACGTGGACAGTTCGGAGGTCGTGATCATGACCGTGGGGGTCGACGAGGTGGAAGAGGAGCAGACAACCGGGCGAATCTGATGATAGCAGAGGAAGAAGAAGAAGCTGAGGTGGAAGAAGCTGAGGTGGTCTTTACTGAGGAGAATCGTCCTCTCCGGGCGATACTCAGGAGAAAAAAGAAAGTAGCAGGGGATGAAGACTTGAGGAATGGGACTGAGGAGGCATCCACCTCGTTCTTCGCCAGAGGCAACACTGCTACCTATGCTCATCCGACCAAACGTACTGATGACATACATGCTCTTGCTTCTATGTCTCCCGACAGATCATCAGAATAGATAGTCGACTCCGGTGTGTCTCGACATGTGACAGGTAATGCTAATGAGTTCTCATCATATACTCACCTAGCATCGCCTGATAGTATTCAAACAGCTGATGGTATATTTCAGCCGGTGATTGGTAAGGGTACAGTCGATTGTACTGGTTTTGTAACTTTGTTCAATGTTTTGCATGCTCCTTCCTTTTCAGTCAATCTTTTGTCTATTAGTTCTATCATTCTCCAACTAAAATGTATTGTTTCTTTTGATATTCCCAAGGTGATTTTCCAGGAGAAGAGGACAGGGCTGAGACTTGGGACTGACACATGACGTAGTGGACTGTGGTATCTGGATCGTGAAGGGCTGAATTCAGCGTTGGTGTCAGTCGTAGAGAAAGCAGGAGTAGGATCTAAAATGAGTGCTGAGAGTGAGTTAATGCTTCATCACCAGCGTTTGAGACACTCATCCTTTAGTGTTATAGGTAGATTATATCCTTCTTTATTTGAGAAAGCAAATAAACAGAAACTTGTGTGTGACGCATGTGAGTTTGAAAAGCTTACTAGAAGCTCTTATGTTAGTTCTGATCATAGAAGTTCTCATGCATTTGACTTGGTACATTCAGATGTTTGGGGACCTTGTTCCACAAGTTCTATGAATGGATACAAGTATTTTGTTATATTTATTGATTGTTTCTCTCGTGTTACTTGGTTATACCTGATGAAGAATAAAAGTGAAGTATTTGGATGCTTTCCAAAATTTTCATAAGAATGTTCAAACTCAATACGGAGCAGTGATGAAGGTATTGAGGTCGGATAATGGGACAGAATATACCAACAGAGCGCTTAAAGAATATTTGTCAACTCAGAGAATACAGCACCAGACAACATGTCCATACACACCAGCTCAGAATGGGGTAGCGAAAAGAAAGAACATACATCTTTTAGAGGTTGCTAGAAACATGATGATCTCTATGAATGTCCCAGAAACATTGTGGGGGCAGGCAGTATTGACCGCAACAGCGCTGATCAACAGAATGCCCTCGAAAGTGCTGGATTGGAAGTCTCCTTGTGAGATGTTGAAGAGAGATAATGGTGGGATTCTTCCACTTAAAGTGTTTGACTGTGTGTGCTTTGTGAAGGATAACAGGCCATCTGTTGGGAAACTTGCCCCTAGAGCTGTGAAGTGCATCTTTGTGGGATACTCTGCTACTCAGAAGGGATATGTTTGCTGGAGCTCGGTGGAGAAAATGTTGTTTGTGAGCATGGATATGCACTTTCGAGAACTCGAGCCATATTACACCCGGAAGGTAAATTCATCCGTTGGTAACTCGCCCAATACTAGAAGTATGAGACGAGAGGAGGAGAATGATGAGAGATCGGTGAACAATGTGGAGAAATCGATTTCTGTATCGATTCCTTGAGAGGGAGAATTGGTTGAGGAGGAGCAGGAGAATGAAGAAGAAAAGAAAAATGAGACAAGAGGTGTTAGGCCAATACATGCCCCGACTCCTGAGACACCTACACCACCACCAGTTTCATCCCAAGATGATAACATTCCTCTCCCTACTCCTCACACCAATATCAGTACGGAAGACTACTCGTAGTAATGCGGGAAATCCTCCCGATAGATATGGTTGGGATTTTGCCCAGTTTGTATCATATTCTAACATCCACCCTGCACATGAGACATTCATTACATCATTGGACTCTGTTACTGTACCTAATAATTGACATGTTGCTAAGAAGGACCCAAAGTGAAAAGCGGTTATGCACGAGGAGCTAGGGGCTCTTGAGAAAAACCGCACTTGGGAGCTAGTAAAACTACCAGAAGGGAAGAGAGCAATTAGATGCAAGTGGGTCTTCACTGTGAAGCAGAATCCAAATGGACAAATTGAGCGCTACAAGGCTCGTCTGGTGGCAAAATGGTATAGTCAGACATATGGCATCGATTATGTTGAGACTTTTATACTGGTGGCAAAGATGAGCACTGTTCGGACCTTAATCTCTCTGGCAGTAAATGGTGGATGAAAGCTACACCAACTAGATGTGAAAATTGTATTTCTTCATGGAGATCTAGTAGAGGAGGTATACATGGAGATACCACCAGGATTCGATACAGATCAGACAGTAGGTAAGGTCTGCAGATTGAAAGTCTCTCTATGGGCTGAAGCAGTCTCCTCGTGCTTGGTTTGACAGATTCATGAGGGCTATGATTGGTATGGGGTATGATAAACACATAAAATATGCATTATCTTAGTGTGTTTTAAGCATGATTTACGAGTGTTTAATGCATATTTCGTGTTTAGATCGAGGATACTGCTGTGATTTGTGTTCTTATATATAGGTATTGGCTCAAGATTGAAAGATTTGATGATCGTTGGTAGTTTTATAAGAGTTTGAAGCAACAACAAGATTTTGAAGGCATGGTTCGTGAAGAAAATGGATGCACGAGTATGAAGAACTGGAATTTCGACCATGATGCAGTTTGAATCAAGAAAAACTCAAAAGATGAAAGTTGTAGATCTCTTCAACAGGATTCCAATGCAACTTGAATCACCTCATTC